TAGCTTCAACTGTTGGGTTACAAAATACATCAACAGGCTGTCGGTTTATGTATGATTGGGTCTGATTGCACATGAAAACAATCCAGATGGGCTTGCGAGGTTACATGTTTAAAGAATGAGCCACGGCAAGACACTGGTGATGTTTTGAGAGAGATTCGTTTTCACCAGACCAAATACAAACTCTTACAAAGAAGAGAAAATTCTTTGAAAGTGGATGTGCAGACAATGCGTTGATATTTTTGTTTGAGTCACTTGGTTTGCCCAGCTTTACCCTAAGAGGTATGCTCAATAAACCATGAACATTTCTTCAAACAGGTGAAAATACTGTATTACAAATGAGTAAAACTAAACTGAGTAGTAGCTGTGTTATGATGGAAGACCTTCAGAGATTGAGATCTTTCAAAGGATTTTTGGAAACAACCCAATAGTTCATGTTTTCAGGTAAATACATAAAAGACACACATCGATGAATTGGCAAGAGATCAGCTTTAACTGATGATCAGCAGGTCAGGGGTTAAATTATACATAGATATATATTTTTCTATTCACTAAAAGAACTGCCTCTGTGTTTGGTCTATAAATCCGTAACCAACAAAATCTACTTGGATGGACTTTCAGTTTGGTAAATGATTAGAGTTTGATAAAAAAATAAAAATAAAAAAAAAGTTGGACACAAATAGGGTTGGTGGATTGAGAAAAAATACCTGTAGTTCACGGTTATCAGTTTTAGTTCTTGGGAAGAAAAAAAAAAAGAATAAGAAAAATAGAAGTGGGTCAAAATAAACCTTCCAAGAAAACCAGAAAGTGATGCCAGTAAGGACACAAATCCAGTGCATCACTCACAACAAACCACACTTTTACCCTCTGCAAAACTGAATGTACACGTTTTAAAAATCTGCAACTTCATTAATATATATTTTCTTTAATATTCAAATGAAATAATCTGTTTTGTGATAAAACTATTGGTAATGTTTGCCAGCATACCTAATGTAAATATCTGGATGGTTATCTTTGACGATCAGTACTGATTTTGTTCCTGCATATGTGTAATTTGTGACATCGTTTTTCATTTACAAACTGCAAATGCTGACTATGAAAAAATTAAATGCATTTAAAGCGCTTTGACATACTAAAATGAGAAACAGATCTTTGCTGAACTTATTGCTGTGTAGTTACTAGTTAAAGTCATTTTGAGGAATAGGGAACAATGTTTCACAAGTTAAATGCATATTGATGCTAAAGTAATCCTGATTACATCAAATTTGTATGATAAAACTGATTAGGTTGTATTATTGCCAGGTAAATGTAGCCAGGGTTGTGCTGAGCACAAAGGAGATGATTGAATTAGTTAGGAGAATCCCATAGAGGCGGGTGCACATCACCGTCTTTTGTTCCACGGTAAAGGTATCAATCATATCCCGACTGTAACTGTAAGGGTAAATAAATATGAATTTTTGAGAGAAATTAGCCACAAGAAGGAGCTTCTTTAGAAGTAAGCACTCACCATCAGACCTGAAGACATCTGACTGAGCAGAGTTGGTTTAAAGTTGAACAAAGAGCTGTGTTGTATCACAGCAACGATGAAATAGGAAACAACTATTAGTTAAACATTGAGTTCACAGTAATAACTTTAACATGCTTATGTTGGGAACTGATACGTAAAAGGTAAAGCCAACAGGAGTGCTGCTCCTTCTGTGGGAAAGGTAGGAAAGATAAAATTCGCTGAAGAACAATAGATGTGAAGCTAGCTAACGTTAGCCACTCACCTTAAAATAACCACCCTCGTAGTGCGTGTTTGGGGGTCCGAATATCGCCACTTCCCAGTTGTACATGTCCGACTCGTCCACCAAAGTTATCTTGAATCCCTCCACTGGTTCATCCTGGAGGCTCTTCATCTCCAGCATCAGTGCTTTTTGTGAACTGGCTACATGGTGCCCATGCTGAGCCATATTCCACAACGAATAATATTAATATATTTCGGCAACCCACTGCCAACTATGCCTGCGAAGGACAAAGCTAGGTCGGTGCGAACAACGGCTACCAACGGAACAACGAAGCCCCCCGAGCGTGTTAGTGAACGTTGGTTTCCGTTGGTTGTTCGGGGAAAGAAAGGGGGAAATAAAAAGAACAGGCTCTAAAAAACCGCGACGAGTGGGCTTTATTTGGCCACAGCTAGAGCGCCTTCTTCCTCTCTTGTTGTGAAGGATCCCGGGGAGCTCAGCACAATCTAAATAAACCTGCTCCAATCAAGTCAGACACTGAGTTTGCCTCATTTCCGGTTACGATTTTTCAAAATAAAGCTTAAACATTTGATTTACTGTAGTTATCCAAGTTCTGAAGCAACAAAGCAGGTCTAGACCGTCAAGGTATGATCTCTGTTGGACTGTCAGTTTAAAGATGTATTAAATTTTTGTTATTTTTATAAATGTATTAGCTTATGGTGTATCATCACCAAATGTGATGGAGTGCATATGCGTTCTTATCAGTTCCACATTTGTCTCTCGGAACATTCCAAAGTCTTCGGGGTCATCAAGGTGTTTTTCAAGGGTTTGTTGTCTTTTCTGTTAGCACTGGTTTTCGCCATGGATTTAACCATTTTCTTGCAAAATCACGAGCATTGACCATAACTGTGGTGAGTAATGATGTGTCCTTTAGATGTTGTGGGTTTTTATGTAACAAGTTTTGATGATCTGAAATATTTTGGTGACAAAAAAAAGGAAAAGAAAAGCAAAAAACACCGCTTGGAGAGACAGGGTTCAGATAAAGTCAAAAGACGAAAAAAAAAAATTGGTATATGCAAGTTTTTATTGATTTATCTTTTGTAACACAAAAAAAGACTACAGAAGCTTCTCCCAAAATTTATTTCTAGTTTTGAAATATATTCAAAACTAGAATTTATTTCAAAACTAGGGAGAGTATATAATTTATGTCGTCCTCTTGACATCATGACCATTTACAATGCATGTTTGATAGCTGAGCATGGAGAAGAAAAGGAAAACAAAAATAACTGCTGAAAATCTTTCATTCGAGCGTATATATTCATTGTAACAAGCCAAACGTGGAAGAAGGCCTCACAATGAACTAACCAAAGAGTTGAGACAGCGGTTTGCTTCTCCGTACACTGCTTCAGGTGAACTTTTAAACTGGTTTTCTGAGCCCCGTGCCCTCGGTGTTCATGACACCAACCCTTCCTTCCCTTGTGTTCAATAATTTAAAACATTCAGTGATATCACGTCTTAACAGGTAAAAACACAATGCCATCGAAAATGGAGCATGATCAAGTAAACAAAACATATTCAGGGGAAAGGGGAAAAAAAAAGGACAGTATGGAATGACTTTTTGTTTAAGCGTGTCCTGTGCCAGAACAATGACAGAAAGGAAAAAATAAAAATTACATTCCTAATCATGCAATATACACATTTTAATCTAATATTATGCACACAATGATCATAATAATGAATGAGGAGACGATTTCTCTTGGATTCAGCGAGGTTGTTTTCAGGAACGAGGAATACATACATGATTGTTTTCTTTTGACATTCCTGAAAAACAACAAATCACCTCTGTATTCAGACTCTACAACTAGACTGAATATCAAGTGGAATGGCTGACCCCGATGGTCACAGACATCAAAATTATCTACAATAGCAGACTGATGCAAAGGAGGGCCTTAAGAGCATATATGAACAAACTAGTTGTTTTTTATCTTGCTAAACGGGGTTAAGAAGTCAAAAATGAACAACTCAATTCAAAAGAAAAAAAAAAAAAGGTTTTGTGAGAGGAGGCAAATTCTTCCTTGGGGTGGAAAAAAAAAAAAACAAAACAAAATGACAACGGAGCATGAAAAGAGGCAAGGCGGTTTTACGAAGGGCAGGGAAACATCGGGGATGTCACCTGGGTGCCGGCTGACATGGCTGGAACAATCGTGCTGCAAACACTCGAGTGGCACAGGCGGAAATATTTCGCAAGAACACAAGAAGATGAAGCAGGTGCTTCCTCCCGGTGGAATTTAACTAATACTGTACCGTAGAGAGCCTGAACGGCGTCTGCTAGCACAGAATACGCCTTCCTGGTGGCTAGTTTTCACTATTATCAACTACTTAAATCCATTTAATTCATGGAAAGAACGATATGTCAATTCTTCAGAAGAATTGACATGAGTGTAGGAGAAAAGGCACAGAGCAAAAAAAAAGAAAAGAAAAAAAAGAACCATTGACCCACTAAGTTTCTTTGTTTCTAAAAACACCACATCTGCTCTGAGCATGACCAATGAGAAATTAGGGACAGAGCATTTTATTAAACCTTTAAACCTCCCTGCCTTTTAGTGTATTTCGCTTTGGTTTTCTCTCTGCTCCATCAGCAAAGCAGCTGCCCCCAAATGTTTAGTCTTCATACACCAGGTGAGGTGACCAAGTTAGAGTTCTACATTTTTTCCAGCTAGGACCCAGGTGGAAAAAAAAAAAAAAAAGTCAGTCACACCGTTTTTCCAGGCCCACAGAGCAGAGCTGCAATGATGTTCAGTAAGAGGGATGTAAGGAGTCGAGACGAAGGCGAAGACAGGCTTCAAACAAAAGAGAAGAGACCCATACGCCAAACAAAAACAAACTACAGATGAAAACATAAAACCTCAAACAGTAAAAATACAATTCAACCATCAACAGCAAACATCCAGTTGTTACATTACACGACTGTCAAAGAATGAACTGCCAGCAGGGCGGGAAGGCAGAGGGATAAGGCCTGGGAGAGTAGAGGACGTGAGGCAATCCAGAGCAAGGAGGAGCTGGGAAACACCAGTAAAAATCATGGTACACAACAGAGAAGACGATGCATGTAGACAGCGAGTCTGTAAAACAACGTAGAGCGAAGCTGAGTGACCACAGAGCTGAGAGTGCAGAGGGAAAAAAAAAGTGTAGAGGAATCGGAGCGGATGTGAGGAGAAAGAAATCTTGAAAATTTGAGGACTAATAAATAGGGTGAAGCTGGAGGTGCCAGCCGCAGTGTTTCGTAATGTGATTGTGTTGCTATAATGAGGGAGTGGGTGGCATGGAGGGGCCGGGTGCACCCTGGGGCCGTCAGAAACAATCAGCACTGAGAGAAGGTCTGCTTGATCTCATCCAGCACATTCCCAAGCAGCGTCGGCTCGTCGCATTTTGCGTCGATGGACACCGTCTGAGCAGACTGGGAAGAGGACAAGCAACGAAGACAACATTTTATGATGAGGTTTAACATTTCAAAACAAAGATCTGAGGCTCTACTTATAAGAAACAGCAGGAACTTGCTTCAAGTCCTCTTTAGTTTTTCAGCATGGTTTTGTTTGAAATTATGCAAAATCTAAAAGGTCTTGGGACACATTAAAGCAAACTCCATGCTGGTTTTAAACAAAAGTGGTTGCCCTAAAACTACATCAGCTTTTAATCATCTCCTTTTTGTTTTTTGTTTACATGTTTTTACATAGAAATTAACTATGGCAATGAAGGCACAGCTAACAAGCAAAGAGTCACTTACAGTTTTGACCAGCAGACAGACGTGGTGACCCTGGATGGACCTGCTGTACATGGAGGCACAGGAGTCGATCCTCTCCACAACTAGTTAAAGAATCACAAGGGGAATAAACTATTATTCGGGTTGTTTCCCCATTAAAGAGGCATCTGTGGTGGACCCACGGCTGCTCCCAGCTGGTTTGACAGGTAAGATTTTAATCGGTTTTTCAGACAGAAGCCTCATTATGTCACTGAGAGCATCTCTCCTAGTAAAAGCCTGATGCTGAAATACTGCCGACAAGACAGGAAAAGGCTGACTTTTGCATGGCGAGTTGCATAAGCTTCAAATGCTAATTTCCTAATAATTGAAGCCTCCTTACAAAGTTTGGTGTACATGAAACACTAGGGGGTGCTGATAAAAACCAACACCTAGTAAAGACAAGTAAAACTTGTGCAAAGATTCTTAGCTCAGAAAAAACATAACTTTCTGTAGTCACTTCTTGGTATGGTCCCTCTTTGGCATTGGATTTTGTTTGTTCACTTATAAACGAGTAAAAAAAAGTTTTATGTGGGGCTTCTCAAGGAGGAGACACATAAAAGCGCTGTGCAAGTTAAAATACAGAATACAGACACGTATAGAATACAAGCATAAAAAAAGGTCCTGCAAATAAAGACAACAATTCAAAGCATGTGAAATGCAATGACTTGGGATTTATTTATAAATGGCTGAGAAAAAAAAAAAAAAAAAGTCCTAAGCTGTTTCTAAAAATGTCTGAAGTTGTTGAATCTCGTTACACACAGTGGAAGCGCATTGCACTATCTCAACGCCGCAGACCTCAAAGGCTCTGTCCTCTTTAGTTTTAAGTCTTCTATGAGAGAAAACCAGTAAACCCTGATCAGCTGACCTCAGGGACCTACTTGGAGCATGCAAGTGAAGCAAGTCAAGTTTTGAACCATTTAGGGCTCTATAATAATGAGAATTTTTTTTTAAAAGGATCCTGAAACTGATCATTTCCAGCTTTGGCAATATTTCTAAGAGAAAAAACAAGAGCAGGTTCCTTTGTTAATGTGCATGTCAAAGTTCATGCCTAACCAACAGGACGACATCAGAGGCCAGAATAAAACAATTTTTCTCGCCATAGTTCAACTAAAGAATGCTCAATGAGTTAAAAGAGTTGATTTAAACAATCTATAATCATACATCGTTACTTTTGATAAATAGTGCTGAGGAATTGGAGTTTTGTCATTTTAGGTGGGATTTATAAAGACCGACCTGTGACATAAAACAACCTCAGTATTTATGTTAAAAAAAACAAAAAACATCAGTGGCAAATTTAGATAAAATAAGAAAGAGCTGAATGTGGACTAACAATGTGAGACACGGAGCTCATTATTGTAGTTATTGCTATTCTTATATAACTTTTATTAAAGCTGAAGCTCAGAGTTCCTATTATTCTCCTGTTAAATAAAAACTAAAACTACTTTGTGAAATTTAAATTTTCACCTCAGAATATTTCAACTACTTTCCAGGAACTTGCTTCAAGTCTTCAACAACTGCATGTTTTGTTTTTTTTTTCCTCAGGCCCGACTGGAGTTATTGCAGCACTGAAGCGTCAGCGCTGCAGCTAATGCTGATGGCAGTAGAAACTGAAGGCGCTTGTGCTAAGCAAGCACCTGCCCACTTAAGACTACAACAGAGTTGGTGGAATAACTCGGAGTGGGTGCTTTTACGGTCTCGCACAAATGGAAAAAAAAAAGAAAAAAAAGAAAAGTGATTTAAACTTTAAAAGCAGAAAGGCTACCTGAGAAGTGGTGGTGGAAGCAGATCCTGGCCAGCAGATGGTGGAAGGGCATGTTGACTCCCTCCAGCCGCACCGAGCTGCTCTTCAGGTCTCCCGACTCCAACAGTTTTGCAAAAGCGTCGCTGAAAAGAACAAACCAGATTATGAGACATACCTGCGGCGGCAGACAAAATGTTCAGCAGTTATCGGCGAAACACATTCCAAAAGTGTTTGTGTCAAACCAAAGAGAGACGACTAACAAAAAGTCCCAAAAGCATGACGAACACGGTTGAAGGTTACAAAACGTTTAGACCCACAAGCACACAGAGTTCACGACCCTGAGTCTTGCTGAAGGTGAGGCGAGTTTATTTTCCAGCTTCAGCTGAACACATGGACATCAGACTGTGTCGCCATTAAAGTGGTTTGAGGGCCCAAATAAATCAGGAATTATGCTATTGAACTATTTTTATTTTTGAACTGAGCAGAGACATTAATCGCTTTTAAATATTTGCACGTGTGTGCGTTTAAATCATCCACCTGTAGCAAGGAGTAGTGATTAAATAGGAGGTGCAGGTAAAGTGCAGTTTGAAGTCCAGTTTCTCATGAGTGGAGTCGTCTTCATTCTGCAAAAATAAAAACAATACACAAATATATTTTTATAGTTTTGGTAAAATATATAAATTACATCCACTGTGGTATTTAATTTTTTTTAAAAATCCAAAAATGGATATGAACTAAGTTCTAAAATGTATACCGAGAAGTCTGAGGACTGAATTAGAAATTTGTGTAAATAAATGTAGAAACAACAACAAAAAAATAATCTGTAGACTATAACTGACTCTAAAAAATTGAAAAAGAAGGAAAATAGAGACAATAAATAAATACATAAAAAAAACCTTTGACAAAAATAAGTTAAGCAGTGTCAGTAGAAATGTTCTTGCGGTTCTTCTATAATGCTTCTGTTTTATTTATGGATACAGCACTGTTCGTGTGAATATTAATACCGACCTTAACAATGAAGGTTAGAGTTCCCTTCAGTTTCTGTGGCATTACGATGCTTTGCACAGTGAAGACAAACCGTGCCTCATTGGACACACCTTCACCAACAGAGACAAAGAAATTGTTAAAAAGCCCAAGTGGACTTTCATGGGCGGCATTCTGCAGGTCCCTTCTGACCTGGAGGAAGTTGGAAGGGGACGACGAGGCCATCGTGAGGACCCGAGCCTTCTGGCCTCTGTAGTTTGGAGTTCAGAGAGTCCAAGACGTTGAACTCCATGGATTTGAGGAAGCTGTTGCACTTGTTTTCAAATATAACAGACACAACCACCTGGCTGCCATCCTGCAGGTTCCCCTGGATGTCGTACACCTTGAGGACACACAGGACAGGTAACCAAACAGGTTTTTACGTCACAGTCGCAACATTCATTCGCGAAGCAGTTCAAGAACTTGGATAAAAACAATAAATAAATTTAAACAAAAGACTTTCAAGAAACACAGGAAATTTGATTAATTAGTTTGGAATGAGAGGACGCAGGGCTTCATAGAACCAGTCTGAACACAATAAGATAAACACAGGGACAAACATCAGCCTTAGAAACTGAAGCGACACTCCACAGAGGCTTTCATGTATTCTGACCCAGAGGGCAAGTCTGTGAGAAACAACAAGGACAGAGAACAGCACATCTAGGAAGGAGCTTAGAAGATACTCTGTCACTGACAGAATGGTGAGCAATACCTCGTCAGCATCTTCCATCATCTTTAAAAAGAGCAAGAGACCGGAAAGTAATTTAGGCTTTTGTTTCCCCACCTCTTATTTTATAATAGTTGTTTTTTTTAAGTCATAATTAGAAAATCCAGAACACGAATACCATTGGTAACATTTTCACATGAAAACAGCTCATCTACTCAGTACATCGATGTTTCATAAACTTCAATGCATTGCATTGGGACTGGACAGACTAACACAAAATGTCATACAGTAGGGAAGTGGAATGAAAAGTTGTGGAAAACAATGTCTCCTTTTCATTCCACTTCACACAGTTGCCACTTTGTGTAGCTCTATCACATGAAATACCAGCTGCTGAAACATGGGTAATCTTAGCTAATGACACACCAAAAAAAAAAAAAAAAAAAACTAAGATGAACAACAATCAGCAACAAAGACAAATGTACTGACTGTTTCTTAATGTCAGACTGAAGGCCAAACATAATCCAACTTCTGAAAATTGTTCGTGTTCATTAGAAATCAAACTGAGGAGTTAAATAACATATTGATGCCAAACGGTGAATGAGGTTTAAAAAGAAAACGTCCCAGTCACTCACCATCTTGATGTAGGAGTTCTCAGCCAGCAGGCAGTAATTGGACATTGGCTGAAAGGAGAGAAAAGCTCAGGTCACATCAGCCATTTTGTGCCACTGATGTTTAATATGCAAAAGTGTGATTGTAGCAGGAAGTGAGTTTGAACAGAGCTAGCAAAACAATGATGATAAATTATTCTCCTTGAGCTCTTCTGGCTTTGGGATGAGAGACGCTAATAGAGAAAAAGGAGCATGTTATAATAATTAACTTAGCAGATAAAATACATGGGTTGTATCTAAAAGAAAAAAAAAACCTCATTGGCACATAAATAACCTTACAGTTGCTGCTTTAACACTGACCGGGAGGGGCTCTTCCTCCTCAACGGTGCCGTTCTGAACCGACTCGTCTCCAGCACCGTCACTATGGTGATGATGGTGGTGATGCTTCTTCTTTTTCTTCTTCTCTTCCTTCTCCTTTTTCTGCTTCTTCTTCTTGTGTTTTGAGGACTTCTAGTCATTAAAACACAGAACGTAGCCACGAATTACTGTTAGGCCAGACAAATGAGTAAATACGTAAACACTTGACAGTGAAAGTGGCTGAAGCAGAGGAACACGACAGATGCCATCAGGTTTATGTCACATCACCCACCCCAGCTTGTTGGAAAGGAAGAGCTGCCAATGCAACAAACCCTGCCAGGGTGTCGCAAACTGGGATCTTGAGGACTGCGGCCAAACATTTAACTTTGATCACATCATCAGCGTGACTCACCGTCTCCTCCATTTCTGTGTCTTTGGGTTCGTCTGGCTCGGAGTCTGGCGCTGTGACGGAGGGCTCTGGGGCGGCTGCTGCTGCTGCTACTGTTGCTGCTTCCTGCTCAGACACACAAACACACCCAAACACAAAGCACCAGATTAATGCATTAGCAGGAGCGGCCGCAAACACATACGGCCGAGTTTGCCACATCTGTGTCGGAAGAGGCAAGTGGATTAGGGAGGACAATAAACATGCCTCGTTGCGTCATATGCTGTGTAAAACTACTGCATTAACCAGCCACACAAACTAGTGAAAACACTGAAACTGTCGGCCAGGCGGGATCTAAGCAACATATGTAATATACACCGATACAATCCGTTTTGCTGGAGAGACAGTCGATGCAGAAACAAAAAACACGTTAAGGCCCATTTCTAGATTGCTTTTTTTTTTTTTTTCTTGAGGGCTGATGAGCTCCAGGATAAAGATCCAGACACCTGACAGCACCGGTTCTACTTAGCAAGTCCTCACAAACCAGTTTATTAAATATGTAAAAGTAGGTTTTTGTGGACATCAAAAGGCAAATTCTACGACGCCAAAAAAAAGGAACAAGACAAAATGAAAAGTTTACGCGTGTTTGGTGGAGGCCCGGTTAGCAGAACGGGTGGACAAAGGTTTTAAAGAGCTACGGCTTCAAAACCGCTAAGAATTTTGGTCATATCACTCCTATGCTTTAAAGTCACTTTAGTGTCGTCACAGTTGCAAGCAGCACCTGAGCCTGACGTAACAGGTTAATTTTACTTTGTCAAATAGGAATAACAAGCTGTGCAAAAGGCACACTTACCTGAAAATGTTATTGTACATTTTTGCTCCACTCTATGTACTACGTTTTCTTTAAAGAAACAATTATTCATAAGTTTGCCAAAAATAAGAATTATAAAGGTTGTAATAATGTTCCTGAAAATATAAAATAAACACCTGCAAAATGCTGTATTGTTTTTTTTTTAAGTAAACATGCCTATTGTAAGGCTGAATATACACAAAATCCAGAGTCCTCTGAAGGTAAGTCCTTGCTTAGGTGTTTTTCTCAGATCATGAAAGACTTCATCAGAAAATCTCTAATGAGACACATTTTTAACCACAAAATTAGTCTCACAAATAGGGATTTCCTCTCACTAGGTGAAACTAATATTAAAACACACAACAGACCAAGAAAAAAAAATACACAAAAACAAAAATACACATGACTGCTAAGGAAGATTCAAAAGACGCATCACAATGCAGCGTGGACACCAACAAAACAAATTCCCACTTTGACCTCAATAACAGAAGGACACCCGCTGGGCAAAACAGGAACTAACGCGGAACCACTAGCACACACATACAGTACACAGACATACATGCTAGAGAAAAAAAAAAAAAGATGTGCACTTAAAAATGGGAGTGGATTGGATAGACTTTTATGTGACCTGTGAGTAGGAAGAGGGAAACAAAAAGGGAAGAAGCCACTGAAACAGTGTGTGGTCCAACATGTGAGGAAGGTCCATGAAACACGGGATTATGAAACAGGGATGTGCAGAACAGAAGGGCAGGACGTGGAGAGAGGGAGGGTGGGAATGACTCAACCTGGGTGTTAGAGGGCACTGGAGCGTTTGAGAGCCAGAAATCCAGATCCGATACCTAAAAGAGGAAGGGAGGGGAGAGGGGGGAGCAGGAGGTGAGGGAGGTGAGCACACAGTTTCTGTATCTTACCACTATTCATGAAAACAGACTACACTGCACTATTTCATGAATAAATCAAGCATTTGGCAAGAGACTGCAGTCAGCTACGAGGAAGCTGATACTAGACCAGAGGAGCTGGTGGAAAGAGAGGCTAGGAAGAAGCAATGGAAGTGCTGAGTCAGGGAAAACAATCAAAACATCTGTTTACATGCGATCTTCTTCAGAGCAGCTGTAATATTTATGCTATAGCGTTTCTGATTACATGGGTTCGTTTAGAGCACCTTGCAAAAGTATTCATACGTCTTAAACTTCTTCATATTTTTGACATTAGAGAAGTTTAATGTCTGACAGGACAGCAAAGTAGCGCACAATATCAAAGTTGAAGGAAAACCTGAGTCCACCGGTGTGTTAATGTAATCAAATTGGGGTTGTTAAAATTAGAGCTATTATAATATAATAGAGACAAAAAAAACCCAAAAACCAAAAACAGTCTTCAATGAAATTCAATTGTGTCAAAATCGATAGAAAACAAGTCATTGTCACACAGCAGTGCTACAGATACTCTTAGTTCCTTCTGAGGATCATCAGAACAATCATGGCAAAGAATCAAAACATTGAGCTGCTGCTGCCGACGCTGGACGTTTAAAGCGTCAGTAACAACCTGATTGTTACTCGTTTTGCCTACGAGGCTGACAAACAGCAAAACACAAAAAAGCCGAGGAGCAACGCTACAACTAACACCGCAATAATAAAGTTGTAAAGTTCCTGCACATTGTGATATAACTGCAGGTATGAATCAACAGGGTAACGTGCCTCAGCAGAGACTCCTTTTTCGACCAAGTTAAGTGACGAAATGATCTGCACGTCCCTTTCATTACTTCATCTATTCAGTGACAAATGAACTGGAAGCCAGTGTGGCCGATAATAAAACGACTAAATTTTAAACAGTGGTTCTAGACTGAAATCGACAATTTCAAAAAGAAAGAAAAATAGTTGCAGTGATACAGTCTTGCGTTTTTTTTTCTTAGTATTGGCATCAAGTTTGACATTTTCTGTATTGTGTCAACCCTAAACCAGTCTGAGGGGTTTAAAAACTTTTGCAAGGCCTCATGATTTAGAATTTCTATTAGATGATAGTCATTTTTCGGCTTAGACTTGTTTTGAAAGTACCTCTGCAGCAGTAGAAGAGGAAGAGGGCGGTTCTGCCACTTGACTCGTTTCTTCTGCTTGGAGCACAGGTTCGTCAGCCTGACCCCCGAGGAGATCCTCCTCCTTGTCTTCATGCTTGTGTTTTTTCTTCTTTTTCTCGTCTTTGCTTTTCTGAGAAAGCAAAAGAAAAAAAAAAGATTTATGTTTCAGTCAGGCTAAAGAACAAAGTCAAAGCAGCTGGCAGCTTACAGATGTCCTTTTATAAATCTGATTAACAATTTTAAATATTCAGTCTGTCTTATGATACTAGATAGCCTGAAGAGCGAGGGTCTTTGTGATCAAAACCACACCTTCACCTTCCGATCTCTCTCTTTGTCCTTCTTTTTCTCTCTCTTTTCTTTGCTGCTCTTCTTCTTGGGTTCCGGCAAAGTCGCATTTTCAGTTTCTCCATCCGTTGGGCTTTTCTGGGCCTCGGCAGGACGATGTGACCTGACCGGCAGCTTCTCGCTGTCTGCAAGCGGCCTGGACAAAAAGCAAAACGTACAGAAACCCATCACTTTACTTACAAGACCTTGTTTCGCAACTGACCCACTTGGATTTGGTGCCAAGACCTGGAAAACTATTGAGTATTAGTTTGTTTTGCAAGCCAACAATACAAGGTGCAACAGAAAGCAATACTCAGGCACATTCCGGTTTTCCAAAATGCAGAGCTGTGCTATTTCTCTAAGCCTGAAGCATTAGACAGTTATACATTGGAAGATTTCTCCACACAAGTCTTCGTGTCTTTTCACCCTCGAAGCTAGGCCAGCATGCAGTGTGTACCCCTGCTGGCGAAGATCTATGGACAGACGACGCTTTCCGTCTGATGTCAGACGCCATTTTGTAATTTTTTTTGATAAAAAACTAAATTTAAGAGCCAGAAAACATACTGCTCCTGCTTAAAACGCATTGTATTTGCAGGACTCGCATCCATCCATAAACAACTGTCCAACTCTTCCTTTGAAATTACCTTCTACTCCTAAAACTAACTAATTCAACCTCTTCCAGGATGACTTACAGATAGGGTTAAATAGAAAAATTTAATGAGAACCAATTGATGTTATGCTTTTCAAACGTACACACTAGCACTGATTAAAGGGCACATCAAAGGACCAGAAGCAGGTATGACTTGGGAACTGTGGACAGAAGCATTAAGGCATGTACCGCATGTGATAAGGCCTCCAAAAGCATGCGCCATATCATTATTTGAAGGAAATAAAAAAAATAAATAAGTTTTTTTTGGGAGCCTATACCAGCAGTACAGATTACTAAAGATTAAGACCTGAAAATATCAGCACCAGCATGCCAACGAATGTGTTTGTATGCTTCTCTTTATTGACAGTCTTAATTTAAAGAGCACAAAAAGAAAACAAAACATTTGTTTGAATTAAAAGATGCTGATATTGTCAAGTTAAGTGCAAAGGCGCGGGACAGAAGGGAGGAGGCGTCAGGGTAAGAGAACAAGGACTTGGATAAACTGTCCAAAGCTGCTGGTTATAGAAAACACAAGGCAGGGAGCGAAAAGAAAGGAAGCGGGTAGGGCAAGCTCCGACTAGAAAAGGACGAGGCAGCTGCATTGTAAGTATAAAGGCATCCATTAGCGGAAAGACAAAGCCGGTAAAGCCCGTCTGTGTGCAGTCAGAGCCCACTTCCTGTGGCTGGGGTTCTACTCACCTGCGCCCAGCCGACTCCATCAAACTGCCCACACCCGAGAGGCAGTGATGGTTGTGTGCAAGCACAGGAAAGAGGAAGCAGAAAGCAATGAGGAGTGTGAGGAAGGATAGGGCCAAGTGGCATCAACTTTGATGCTTTGGTCAGAAATCTCAACACAAAGTGCAGCGTTGAAGCTTTCAGGCTATTTACGCTTCGCTAATGACGTTTTAGCTCGTCTGTTTAAACGTGTATGGCTTCAGCTCAGTCAAACAGCTTTGAGCTTAAATAGTCTCGATGGTTCTCGCATCATTTTCTTTTTTTATTGCAGGAAAACATTCGTTTTGAGATTTTCAAATCTGCTCCAGACCGTCGAGCCGTGTTAGTGGCACAGGTGAGCCATCAAGGACCACTGAGAGAAGTCCCAAAGTATTTAAGAAAAAAAAAAAAAATCAGGTGTTTCAAGGCTAAAATCCTTAGTATGTTGGGAAACAGGAGTTAAAGTGGGAAGAAAATGAAAAGAAAACCTATTTTAGGACTAATTTAACACAGAAAATGTAGGGATTTGATAAATTTAAGTAGTCCTGTGCTAAAAAGCAAAGAACTTCAAAATAAAAGATTAAGATAAAAATTATTACCAAAAAAAGAAAAGGGGGGAAAAAAACATACACAGTTCCTGGCAAGTTGCCTCCCAGCCCTCAAAAACAAAGACAAAAAGACAAAAACCAAAACCAAGCAGGTTGATCGTTTTGTAGATGTAATTGAAGTTCGAAACGAAGAGTTAAACTAGTCAGAACATAAACTGAAGCAGGATCAGAGCCGTGTGGACTCACTTGTCCAGGTCGATGTCCAGAGCTTTGTGGGGGTCAGTGGGGTCTCTTTCATCATCATCACTGGGTAAGGCATTCTGCAGCAAGCGGATACAGCAATTAACACAAGACTTAGCACCTTGGCAAAATATCGATTTTAACAAGAAATCTTGATTTCTATTACCCTGTAAGGCTCAAATGTAACAGTAATGATGCAACTTATTCCCCAAAGTATTTTCTTTTATGTAAAATATGCCTAAAAATGTCAACAACGAAAGCACTTTTTGATTTAAAACAAAGTTTAAACAAAAAAAGTTTCCCAATATCTCAGGCATCTATATTGATTTTTTTTCTCCAATCAGAGAGGTACTAAGCTACACAAGTTATTCAGAGTAACATCAATACAAGTTCATAAAAAGCCATTCATGTCAGCAGTGGTTAGTCGTGATGATTTAGCTGCATTGATGTGGCTTAAAAATAAAAATAAACTGATTCTTAATATGTTCCAGTCTGTTATCCCCGCGTTGCAAGCACTACTTCATATCTTCGTGAATTTACTGCTCTGCTTCAGGCCGATGCATCAGTTTCGCTTTCCTAATTTACTAGTGGCTTCATGCATCAACTCAGGTAGGAGCGAAGAGTTTCAATAAAAAGCAAAACAGTAGTAGTAGTAGTAGTAACTGATGTCTGGGTCGACATTTAACTCATGGCGTTTCTAATTGGCCATTGCGATCTCCCGGCATGCCTACCTCTGGCATCTCCTCTGTAACGATGTCCACCATGTGAGCCGGAGTGATGTCCTCTTCGCTCTCCGGAGCCGAATCGTGTTTCTTCCCTCGTCCGCTGCGCTTTTCTTTCCTCTTCTTCTTTTCCTTCTTCTTCTTCTCTGCTCGCTCTTTCTGACGGCGCTCCTCCTCCATTTTCACGTACTGGTCAGACATGGGCAGACCTGAACAACAGGGGCGTTGTTTATAAATGAGACAAATGAAAGAAGGCAAGAAGCAAGAGAACGACAAAAAAAAAAAACACTGTGGAATAGTCATTTTAAATATGATTTTGGTGACTAAACTATTAAGATGTTTTTTTTTTTTAACATTTCTTTCATTAGTGTTATGATATTTGACCACACCTGGGACTTTGAGAGGCACATTGAGGTCAATCTGCACTACTGGGATGTGCTCCACTCCAGGAGCTTCTTGGTACACCTACAGATATTAAAATAAATAAATAAAAAAAGAAAAAACTTCATTACAGTGCAGTTAATATCTGTTAACTTGGACGATGCACAAATGGATTAGCAGAACAGTGGATGTATTCCACTGACTGCTAAAGACGTAATAAAATCTGGGCATACAAATATTTTTTTTTTCCATACTCTACATTCTTCTAAAATTATATTGAACAAGTGAACAATAATTAAAAAAATATATCCTTAAGTTTCTAAACTGCCTATTAACTCATTGTTTCATTTAAAGAGTGTAAAACGAAGCACTATTATTCACAAAAGATTAGTGAAAACGCACCTTCTGAGAGGACGGGGAAGCCTTGATGTAGAACGGATTGTTGGCTTGCTCCTGCTTTCTGGCTTCCCTCCTCTGGGAAAGAAACAAAATCCGCATCACAAATTAATCCACGAATAACTGGTTAATTCAGATAAATAATGTTTAAACCCTGAACTAAAGATCAATACATTAAACAATCACTGCCCGGGAATATATCCATGCTATATCTTTGAGAATTGAGAATGTCAAACGAGCAAGGTGAAAAGAAGAGGACTTGCATCAACCACCGCCTTATACTAAATAATGAAATGCAGACAACGGGAGTGAAGTCTTCTGCAACAAAATGAAGCCGGTAAAATGTGCAGCTGCTGCGTTCCTCCATGCGTACCCTTGCGAGCTCTTTCTCGTCCACCTCCGTGTGACGAGGTCTGGAGTGTTTCGGCTCCTCCTTCGCAAAAATCGCCTTCGGCTGCTCGTCCTCAGACTCGCTTTCAGAAGGCGGTTCGTTGATCCAGGAGTCCAGGTCCAGGCTTCATAGGCATGCAAAGATTTTCACACTTCAGTAGTCAAAATAATTGAGAATGCGCTCAAATTTTAGCTGTAGTTAAATATGTTGGTACATGGTAAAGGAAAAGAAAAAACAAAACAAAAAAAACGCACTGACCCCTCAGGAACAGGAACTTTCTTCTGCGCTTTTGGTGCCACGGGGTTGAGTTCTCCTGCAAACAGCGCGTTGACTTCCTCTGCCACTTCCACGTCCTTCTGCTGAAGCTTCTGGATGTACTTGACCAGCTGCAGGATGCAGGACGCCTGAGGACAGAAGGCGAGCCAGTCAGCATCGCACGTACTCGAGCAGATTAGTTCGGTCCAGGTGTGACCGGTTCAGCTCCCCGTTTGTCTCACCCTCTCCTGGACTTCGAGGTTGGCGCTCTGCACAAACAGCGGCAGCCTGTCTATCATTAGTTGGCTGGCTTCCTGCGCAGCTGTGCTGTCCGTGTTCCCTTCCTCGCCCTTCAGCACCGTTGCAAACAGCTTGGCTGCGTTCTGAACATACACAGCCTGGATGTGGCCCGGCAGCGTGGCCACCTTGGGCCGCAGCATGGCCTCCAGCGTCTGCGTCGGGTTCTCCAGGTGTCTGCCAAAACGATACGATTTACATAACCGCCCGCTTTCGGAGTCGTCCTCCGCTCGGCGCGTTTGTGTGTGGAAACGCGAACTCACTCTGAGAACTCGCCGCAGATCCAGGCCGCAGCGTACAGAACCTCGCAGATGCCGTTCCGCTGCGTGTTGCCCGTCAGCAGGTGGGCGTTGTCCAGCAAAGTGGCCATCTGAGCGACGGCAAACGCTCGGATGGCCTTCACTCGAATGGCGACGTCCAACATCTGAGAGGCGATGAGGTGGCCGTGTCGTGTGCCCTCTAATCGGGTCAGCTCCACCAGGATGCTGATGTACCTGTCAGTCACGCACAGGGCAGCGAGTGGCGTTCAATCCAACCAAGTCGAACTCTGAGCGAGGCAGAAAAGAGTGCAGGCAAACGGCAAAACAAACCATTCAAAGTTGGTGATGTACTGGTAGTTGCTCTGGCTGCAGATATCGATGATCTTGGTGAGAAGTTCGTCCCTGTAAGTGGTTCCTTCGGCTTTGTCCACATGCAGCATCAGCTTCTTCACAATCTCCATCAAGTTCTTTTTAGAAACCTGGACGAAGCAGAAATGCAATCCGTAATGACGAGTTAAGGTTTGATTTAACGTCTCTTACCTTAATAAAAAGACAACAAATAAAAAACATATTGCTGAGGCTAACGATACACATTTTCCTTCATGCACGAGCTCAATGAGCTTCCTGTTTATTCATCCTGAACAAACCTCATAATGCAGGAAACTAAATCAACCGAAGATGCGCTCGGTTTTGTTGCCAACTTCCAATTTTTGTAAAACTCTGAGTTGACGGTAGAGATTTAATCTTATTTTGGATGAGACGAGCACTATTTTCTTCAAACCATCCTGCTGTGTTATCAACTTCCACTGATATTAAGATCAGCTTCCACATCTTTGTGCTCCCTCCCGCTTCACTTTACACATCTCACCGAGATGAAAATGGCTTTTACATGCATGTTCACACATGGCATAAATGGGTCAAACAGTGTGGCGTGCCGTTTCGGCTCCATACCATGCCGTAGAGAAGGTCCAACGCTCTGAGACGAATGGACTCATCTTTGTCGTCGAGACACTGCAGGATGAGGTCCTTATGAGACTGGACAGACTTGGGGTGCGTCTTCAGGATCTTGGACATGGCGAGCAAGCCCAAGTATTTCACTGCACAAAGATGAAAACGCACAACCTCATACAATGAACCTGATAAGTTACAGCTCCTAATGTTTTACTAGTTCTTATGTCTGCTGATATGCAATTTGTTTAGAAAACCAATTATTAATTTATGTGGATATTATTAATCTCAGTCATTTTAAGCTACGTTACAGTCCAGCTGCAAATGCATTCACCCTGAAAGGGCTTTTTAAAGTTTAAATACTTCAGTCATTCCATCGAAGGAATAAAACTCATCTCGATGAGAATACTTTAACATAGACTGATATAAAAAATATATTTCAGTTCATTTTAATGAGTATGGCCAACAACTGAGGAAAACGTTAGAATGACGTTTCTCAGAAAATGTGAATGTTACCGAAGAGCAACTGAAGGATTTTTATACAGGAATATTGCACTCGTGTGCACATTAATAGGAAGAGGCATGACTGCAGTCACCCACACCCTCTTGTAGAAAAGCACATTGCTGGAAAGGTTAGTGGACGGAAAAAGTGCGGTAGAACACTATGCATAAGTAACAGCCTCAAGAGGACTGCGAAGGAAAGACTCTTCAAGAAGTTTCCGTTTTCATTAGCTGTAAGCCATAATCATCACAACTAAAGAGAAATAAACACTTAGATCACTCTGTCATGAACAGAGTTACAGAAATAAATTAACTTCATGATTTTCTAATTCACTGAGATCATCCTGTATATAACCTAAGTCCTACTACAAGCTACGTATTCAAAAAAGGAAAAAAAAAAAAAAAAAAAAGAGGAAAAAAAGGAACACAAAACACACAAGACAATGGAAAGGACAAACACACGTACACATGGGAGACTAGCTTTGTTTTGATTTATCCTTTAAGTCCCTGACAGATGTTCCTCACACACCAAAAGGAATTTCTAAAATAGGCTTTCTGTCAGTCATCGTATCGGGCAGGGAATAATAAGGCGTCTCAGCTTTCTCAATCAATAAACGTGAAGCAGTGACCTTGGGGCGAGGAGAGGCTAGGTGCAGCGAATACCATCACACAAACGGCCAGCCACTGACGTCGCCACTTCACAAAAACAGCAGATAACGATTAATACCATCTTTTACAAGTCTATATCATGCAACGGGATCCATTTTTGCACAACGCATTTTCTTTTACTGTGGGCAACAAAATGAATAAATCATTTAAAGCCAGTTTTCCCACATTGTCATTTCTTACTCCTGTTCATTGAAATAATGCAGACACAACCTCAGTTTCAAAATTTAAGCTAAAAAGTTCAAAGTGTAGCTCAAAAAAAAAGAAAGAAATGCAACTTGAACATGTATTAGCGTTTACCCTGTCATTGTTCATTTATATTTAAGACACAAGTTTGCCAGCCTGCTGGTTACACTCTTGTTAGTGTGTAAGTTTGTTCTGTAAACATTAAAACCACTTTCCCAAAGGGGAACTAATAATTTTAGGACGCTGCATTAGCTCCACATTTGAGCCGTTTCTCTTCATGGAGCTGAAAACAAAACACTTAAGATTGCTTTATTTGGCATCAAAAAAAACTGGTTACGAGTAAGTCTTCCTAAAATGAAAGCTAAGAATTTAAGTAAAAATAGATTAATGTTAGAGCCTAATCTTTGCTTCTAACAAAATATTACACATGCAGATTTCAAATTTGTATGTATTTTTAAGTCTGGCCACAGAACTTAAAAAGAATTAAATCCTCATTTAATTCACATTAAATGAGGATTTTTAAGATTATCCTCATTTATGAATAAAAAGCAAATTTACCTAACTTTTATCCAACATCTATCAACAACTACAACTAAGCGGTTGGTTGATATGTTTATTGATGAGAATCTGTGGGACTTTAATTTTAATACATTAGAAAACATAATAGTTCACTGTTTGACCTGCTGATCACAAAACTGAGTAAAACTTGCTCATTTTCAGAACTTTAGCATTGTTCTGCTGTAAAATCTCAAAGATTGATAAAAGCAAGAAGCAAAACTAAAACAGAGCCCAACTCTGAAGACCAGGGGAGAAAAAAAAAAGAAAAGTCATGATATTCATGCATGCTTTACATTTTTTCCATTTCTGGTTGATAGGCAGTGCTTTCTCAGCCAGTATCTTTATTCTGATCTCCAAAGCTCTGTTACAAAGCAGGTTCAGCAGCGAGGTTTACCACCTCTAGTTACCATAATAAGGTATTTGTTTTGCGTCACGGTACAGGCCGCTGTTTAGACGTACCAGGCATCTGGTTCTGAAGAGCAACAATGATGCTCTAAAACCAAGCCACATTTGATCAAAATATCTTGAATATTTTTTTTTTCCTTTCCTCTCATTAACTCAAAAACCAGGGAGAAGATAAAAGGATAAACAAAACGTTAAACCTCAAATTCTAGTATACTACCACCAGAGATCCACTGTCTACACCACACACACAACTACCTAGAAATGGATGTCCGGATAACTCGAATGGCTGACTACAACAATGTAACCCCAAACTGGCTGGTTATAGAGCTACGAACTGAAGCAGTCTGAGAATGAACCCTCCAAGCTTATTCACAGTCATACTCAGCAATTTGCAGATGCTGCTTAGGAACAATGGTATTCCAAGCAGGCCTTCTAATTTAGTAAAAGTGCAATAAGGTTCGAGTTATCCAGAGTCAGGAGGTCTACGGTCCGGTCATCTACGAGGGCCGACTGTTCCACAGTCAGAAACACACAGACAATGAGAAAATGACACACTGCAGGCATTGACAGAGGGCTCACAGTTCTGGTCCGAGTCTTCTATCAGGATTCGCAGTTTCTGCACACAGAGCTGTGGGAAAGAGAGAGAAAGAAGGAGAGGAACAGGAGAAAAACAAAGGGAGCGGAGGAATTAATGATGTTCTAAACCTTTCCACACCAGGTCTGAAAGGAAATACGTAAAAAAAAATAAATAAATAAATAAAAAAATCTGGAGTAGCTAACTTTCTGGATCACCGAAAAATGGACTGGATGAAAAATGTCTTTTGGCCTTCCAATCAGACAGACCAATTGCTCCTCATGCATTATGATTCAGCTGGAGTGGAAAGGATTGCATTGAGCATAATTTCCATGCAAACTTAGACGGGTGCAATGGAAAGCTGGAGCTCCCTACCTGGATGCTAGCGCTGTGGTTGGGCATCCCAGAGGACAGAGAAATCAACACTGCAATGACGGACAACAAGGCGATTAGCTCAGGTCTGGAATCTTTACAGAAGTCTGACTTGCACACATTTAGATAACTGAGATTTACTGGATGGCAAAATGCATTTTTAACTTTCAGGGCTTACAAACTCAACAGTAGGAGTTGTGGTTTAAATCTAGGAGTCTAATCTCTTAGAAACACAGCAAGCATTTGTTGAATGCATTCCCTACAGATTCCCAGTACTCACCTGCAATTACAGTGTTGACACATTCATACAGCAAAGACATGGCAGAGGTGCTGTGGGAGAGAAAGATGAGTTAAAGAGCAAGAACAGATTCATTTGCCTCAAACTGGAACATTTTAGCATCCATAGGAAAAAAAATACAAGCAGGACTTTGATCTCACCTGTGGATTAAGTTTGTCAGAGGCTCAATGAGCTTTTTCCCCAACCTTGGCTCCAGAGGCGTGAGCGCACCAAACTGTTCGGAGAGGAAAAGGGTGACAATGTTGTCAAACTAAATATTGGAGTTACAGTGTGAGGATTTTGCCAGTTTTCCATGCAAAAGCTTCAGCACAGATTAAACCTGACTGCAAAGCTACAAACGACACGACTGTTGGAAACCCTTTATCTGTAGTATCCAACGTGTCATGTGATCTTGTGGGAAGAAGAGGCATCATTTCCTCTTTCAGTGTACATGCGCTCTTTTAAATAGCTAAATACTTAAAAAGCATTACACACGCACACAAAAAAAAAAAATACACCAGAACAAAAAGCAGTGGAGCGCATTATTTCTTTGCTCCGGACCTACTAGTGTTGACAATTCTCGTGTTTCTAGGGTTTCCGTTTGCTGCGCCTGCTCCAGTCGTCCTGTTCACTTACCAGTTTGATGATCTTAATGAGAACCCAGTTATTGGTGGAGGAGGTCATAAGCTTGAAGAAAAGGGGGGCGAGAGACAGGTAGTTCTTTGGGTTCCTCCTCGCCAGCTCACAAATCACATTGACGGCTGCTGACTGGACACCTGAGAGAGAGAGAGCAGAGAATAATTAAACAGAGTCGGTAAAAAAAAGCCAGTGTGACTGCAAAGTCAATGCGATTCAAAGTGTGTATATTGTGCATAGTGGGAAAGCAACGGAAAAACAAAATTTTGAATAACAATTATGTTTTATGTGTAGCAGGTAAAGCCAGAATGCACATTTGAATCTCAGTTCCATTAATGGATGGGTAGAAGCATATAAATGTTTAGCATTACAGCTCATGTTTGACTTTTAAAACACTCACAGCAGCAGGACTGAAACCTGGGAGATTGTTTGCCAGTATTTTTAATGTGTTATATTGTGAGGCGGCAGCCCTCAGCTGGGTGCTGGCATAAGATTTAACACTTGAAAACGTCACACCCCAGTTCATTTTAACACTACAGCAGCACCGTGTAACCTTAATTTCCCTCCGTTCACTATAAAACACTCCTGGTAAGACACACCGGGCTCCCATCATTCTGTTGATTATATTCATCTATGATCAAAAAAAAATGTTTTAGATGGCAACATATCATAGTGCCATCACATACGCCTCCAATAAGCACCACAAACTGAAAATGAAATTGCCTTTCCGTACAATAAACTAAATGCATGTCTTGGTAATTACCTGGATCTGGGTCCTCCAGTTTCTCCTTGAGTCTTGGGAAAGCGGGGCGCAGAGATTCTGGGTACTTTAAAAATACCTTATACATGATTAGCACAGCTTTCTTCCTGATGTAGGGTTTGGTGTGGGACATCTGCGTAAAAAACAGCAAAGGAAAGGAGAAATACAATAGTTTTATTCAAATTTTTAAAAAAGAGTATACATTTCTGATCTGTTCTGAAATAAAAAAGGCCTCAAGGGAAAACCGGACATCCAGGGCAAGAAAAAAACAAAACAAAACAGGACACTGGAGGATGAGCCATGCAGATAAACTTGACATTTTCTGTGACTCACCAGTGTCATAATGTCGTTAGCGAGGTCCCGTGCCAGATCAGGGGTAACAAAACAAGACAGGCCTGTTAGGGCAACACCTGTGTCATACTGGTTGGGACTACTGAGATCCTTCGGGGGGAAAAATAGGCAGAACAGAAAGAAAAATGGTTGATTTAATAAAAACCAGTCAGCTCACAACAAAGCATGAGCATCAAGGCGCACAAAAACAGGTGCATCGCTGACCTTTCGGATCTGATTGGTTGTCAGCATGATGACATCTGTGCTCTCGTGAAAGCACTGCGAGGCTGCCAAGTAACCAATCCTCTGCAAAAAGGAAGGCAAACGCATTCATCAGCAAGCTGACAGGAATGTACCTGAGCAGCGCATTTCCCAGAGAGGATCCACGGTACCACTTTCAGAGAAGCCACTTTCTGTTGCGAGATGAGCTCAGCAATAACACAACCGGAGTCCTACCTTGTATGTGAACTTGGAGGAACTCATGACTTCAACGATGTTGAAAGCGGCCCAGCTGACATCGTAGCCCAGCATCTGAAGCTGTAACACAGACGGGACGGAGACGGTGGGCATGAGAGGAGAAGAGGGGGCGGCTTTAAACTGTGTCTGCGATAAATACGGAAACTGTAAAGCTTTGAATGTGAGCAAAGGCGGCAAAATGAATGGAGGTTTAAACCTCGATGCGTTTGCAATCTACAAATAAAAAAAACTGATTACATTTTAATTGGAAATTATGCTGCTAGTAGTGGTGAAATCTCCAGCTGCAACACATTACAAGCAGCTACAATGTTACAGAGTTCACCTGATAAAGCTTTACAAGAAGCCATGAGAATTATTTCACCATCATTTTGTTTTGCATATCAAGGTGAATCCATCTGCATCATTCCTTCCAGTGATAAATAACACCATATAATCATAATAGCTGAACACAATCAGATTCTATCACTTTTTTTCCTCTCTTAAAAAAAACCCTGCTAATTGATTAACAGTGTATTGCACAATGTCTAACAAGACAAAAACAAAACTGACTACAGTTTTCTGTGCTTCTCTCACATGTCTTGCATCAATACTTAACCCTGCAAACCGCATGGAGCAACGCTTTCATTTTTAGCAGGCGCTTAAAAATGAGGACATGGTCTTCCACCAGAAGAAGCAGGGAGGGAATGGATTAAACTGCCAGCGCTACACAGAGTCTCATCTGTGTGTGCGTGAGTGTATATGTGTGGAGCAGAAGTGACAGGCGGCGGCAGGGTGTGCAGGCAGAGGGGATCTTACGTAGGTGAGCTTGCACACAGCATTGGCCTTGACAGCAATGTTGTCTTGCTTGAGCTCCTGTTTGATCTCGTCGATGCATGTGGAGATGTATTTGGCCTGCGGACAGACAAAAGGAGAGGGCGAGGGGAGAACAGACAAAAGCAAGACACCAGATCAGATTAGGTAGAGCAATATCCGGAGCGGCACATTTCGGCCGAGCAACAGAAGCCGGCTGCAACGATCCCGGTTGTTCTGTTGTCGCTCTCGAGTCGTCAGAAGGGGGAACTAAGCAAATAGTTTGCACAAGTCCTGCCCGTCATGTCGCTCTCCATCCAAGATTGCATCTATTGACGAGGCCTACTGTTGGCTCAGGGAGGCAGTTGAGTCACACGTCAAGCCGTATTCGAATACAATTGTCTTCCAAAAAAATTTTTAAAAAGCAGTAAAAAAAATAAAGCAGAAAACATGGAAGAGGACATTGTTTAATCTGTGTCTGGTTTATTACTTCAAAAATTTAACTTGCAGTGAAAGTTATTACTGCTGTTGGTGTCGAATGATAACTTTTTTTTTTTTTCAAAAAGCACATTGAAATACAGCTTATTATTAAATGGGCCAAATGAGTAAATTTAGACTGAATTAAAAAAAAAAAAGACATTAAAAAGTTAAATAAACTCAATTGGAATTGAAGTTCCAACAATTTCTTTAAAAAAATAAATAGAAAACACAAAATAGAGTTTCTTAAGCAGATATTTAAAAACGGTGATATGAGGAGGCGGAGCCTTCTACAACTTAATGATGATGAATGAAGAATCTTGATTACCGTTCATTTTTCCACAGGTCTTTCAGTAGCAACTGAGATGTTGACCTCAGTGCTCTGACTGGAGAATTACCACACAACACATCAGCAATCTATCCAGGTGAATGTCCTGACTCCTGGGTGCTACAGCACCTTTTCCTTCCACTTAACTTTCCTTTCTTATACTTGGACAAAGCACTGAAAAGTCAATTTCTTTAGGAACAGCTTTTGTGGCTTACACTTCTTATGACGGGCTGATAAGGACTCTGCTAGACAATGGTCAATTCAGCAAGTTTTACTTTTTAACCTACTGAAATAATTACCACTTCTGCAATACTTTGAATCGTTCGAATGCAACTGCAAAAAGCTCGAACCAAACCAACAAATTAAAACAATTAGAATCCTGAAAAGATCATCTCCAAATAAATAGAATAAATTATTCAATTAGTGTTTAATAAAACAATCAATTTAATTCAGCAGTGTGGAGTCAACAGCTTTCATGCAAGAAACCAAGTCAGCCATTGTTGAGAGGGGCAACCCCACAAAACAAACACATATAGCTATGCGGAGTGTGCTGGTCATGTGTATGCAGTCATGAGACAGCACAGTGACAGGAGGAGGAGGGTGGGGCGGGGGGGGCAAGGGTTGCTGAGCTCTGCTGCTGACAATCTATGAGACGCTGCGTTTTGCAGAGATCGCACAAGAAGAGACGGTCTTACTCAATGTTACTCAGAACCAATCAAAATAACTCAAATAACTGGGCCATGGCCAGCACACTGGTGCCAGTGGCTTCTACCTAAACAGGGTTGGAACTCTACTAGAGCGTGCGAGTTCTCCAAGTCGACCCGTTTCCTTTCTCTGAACAGAAGAAACCAACAAACGGCTCGGAATAATTTCCTATGCGAGTTCCCTAAACTGTTCAGTGGCATCCTCACGCATTTCTTCAATTTGCCGTCTGTGCAGAAGCACCAAAGAGGGAACGAATGAATGAACCGTGTGAAAGATGTCGCTCCCATGTGAAAAGCAAACGGAGAGCATGAGAAAATGCGGGCTGCCCACGGTTAGCACACACTCACAGGAACACAGGGACGTAGTATTAATATTTTAGCAAACTGTCCACTGTCGGCTGGGCAACCGGCAACTTATCTGGGCGACCAGGGTTAGGTTACAACTGTCGCCGAGTACAAAACCACGATCCGAGTCAAGAGATCAAACCCAAAGAGGCTTGAAGGATGCAGCAGGTCCCAGAGTTTTATTTAGAACATTTGATTTCTTTTTTTTTTTTTAATAGAAACTGCCGGTTTAGCTGCTGCGAAAAAATTCTGCCCGTCAGATGAGACTGTGAGGAGGCCAAAGTCAGACAGAAATCCAACACCAACCAACAGTAACGACTGCATACACTAATTATACCGCCTAGTACCCACTGAGCATTTCAACATCAACACCCAGGCTAAGTGTCAGCAGCACGAGATGATTTAAAAGCTCGGTTTGAGCTCCCACTGCCTTCGCTCTCAGAGCTGCAACATGGATGATATCATCAAACACGGAGTCAGCCTGATTGCTAGGCCACTCTGTGCATGTTAAAGCCGCTGCTTCAACGAGGTCCACACCATTCGCTTTAAGAACCAGTTGGAGGAAGGAGATGACAATGAATCACAGTTTACCAGGAAATTACTGGTGAACTGCGGAAACATTTTTTAGGACTTTTGCCTTCGAGTTCGTTGCAGAAGCAGATTATCTGTACGAAAAAGGTTAAATTTTTGTGATTTTATTCTGTTTTAGCGGAATGGAGGTGTTTGTCGCCCTGGGTTAAAGGTTAAATAAGAATACACAATAATGTAGCTACAGGGGGGGTCAAAATGTGACTGTCATAAAGCTCCTCAGCTTTGGCTGCAAGGTACAGCACAACAAAAATGAGGAGGCATGTTTTTCTTTACATTTTTGATACATTTAGAGGCCAAGCCAACATATTAATATATGTTATTAATTCGTTTTTTTTTTCCTCCACAATCATACATGTAATAACATTAAAGCCAGTGGGAAGCCTGCTCTGCCCCCCAGTGTGTGTGTGTGGCCTGTAGGCCAGTTCAGTAATCCTTCAGTGTGTTTTGATCTCAGCTATGCTGAGCAGTAATTTCCTGGTAAACTGTGATTCATTGCCATCTTCTTCCTCCAACTGTTAGCCAGCTGTCAGTATCAGCCCTGCAATAAGCCACCTCGTCAAACACCTGACACGGTTCTGAAAACTATCTTGTGGGTTTCATTCTGTAAAAAAAAAAATGTAATGAAAGCTAAGCTAACTCAGCTGCCCAACCCCGGCTGGTTACCTTGCTAACCGCTGGCTCTAACGTCTGGCTAAATTACCCACTGTTAGGCGTTAACGTTGGTTAGCTAGTCGCGGTATAACGGTGATGCTAAAATGAGTTGAATTAGGAAAAACATTGCTCAATGTTTGCTTTTGGGTGTTCCAGGTGGCCGAGTGTGCTCGTTTTACCTCATCCTCCTTGTGATTCCGAATGCCACGTACTAAATCCTGGAGATTTTTATCGAACATCCGATCGATGCTCCCTTTGACAATCTTCAAAGCCATGTCTGCCTGTGACTTGTGCCGCTTCGCTCTGTCCCTCGGGGCCAAGCGCCTTGCAGAGACGGTCCTTCTGAGTGCAGACCGAACCGACCGACCCGCTGGGTTTAGTCTCTCATCCACCCGGGAACAGTGGCGTTGGCGGTCCGCTACAATCTACCGAGCCCGGGTGGGTAGGTGAAGCTGCTGAGGCCGGACGGGGCGTCCTGAGCTGTGCAGAGACGCTGGCAATGGATCAGCGTAGGAAATGGCTGACAAAATGGCGTCTAAAGTCAGCTGACTGGAGTGTTGAAGAGTCTCGTGTGGGAATCAGAGGAATTAAAGGTCCAGAGCCCTGAAAAGTCAGTCTGCCTCTTTTTGACGGTGGATACTATTAAATTTGGTGCTTTTATTTAATAAACAAGAGGATTTGTAATTTAATTTAAATGGGAAATTTCACATATTTGGGGAAAACGATTTATATGTATTTGCAAATTGTCTGAAGTTGAAGGGTGAGACAATAAGTAAAACATTTTGCTTACAATGTTTTTAATTAACTTCTTTTTTCTTTGTCCCTATATAAATTTATACATATGCATGTGAAATTGTTTTGTATTTCTTTTCTTATTTTAACTCTGAAGTTAATGCTTTATGTTCTTGTTGAAATTTTAGAGAAAGGAACTGTGTAAAAGAATTTGTATTCAAATATTTTCAAAGAAAATACTCATGAAATTGAAAAAGTTCAAGTGTCACATCTCAAGATTACTTTTGACATATTTCAAAAATAATAGGCATATAAAAAAAATTTCATACAATTTAATTATTTGTATATTTTTACTAGAGCATTTTAAATAACTAGATATTTTTATTTTTGTCATAAATGCTAATGCTATATTAAAATGAACCCCAAAAAGTCCATCTATAGAAAGATAATTTTACTGCTCTAGTACTTGTCTTTGGATTCAGTTAGTGACTCTTTTCAATAGCACAACATATTTTAATAGAAATAGAAAGAATACTGCCATAAAACTAAAAAAATAAAATAAAAACACTAGATTATTCATTAAAATATAATTTTCAAATAATGCAGGCCTAAAAATAAAACCAATTTTTTTATACCACATATTTCATATATTCTTATTAAAGGTATTCATGCAATAGAAAAACCATCAAAAGCATTAAAATATTCCCTGAAAGGCCAGATTTTCTGATTAACATATAGTAAAAGATTTCCTCTGAATTTTTCTACAGTTCTCAGTAACTCATGAGTTTGCACAACTGTTTCTGTCATTTATCATAACCTCAATGTAATGTATGAGCAGAGAAGAAGCAAAGTGAACAAAACCATGCTGAGATTTTTATTCAAGTCTCAACTACGTTATAGAAATGCTTTACCAATTTACATAGCACTAAAAACACATGATGTATGCACATAAAAAAGTCAAAATAGGCTGCAGCTACATGAGATCTCAATAGCTTCTGAGGGCATTTTTCAGTTTCCCCCCCCCCAATTCATCATGATCCATTGAAAGCAGACACTAAAGAGGAGAGTGTATGATGCTCAACTGCACAGCAATTATTTTTAGAGACAAAACTGTGATCCTATGAAAACAAAGGCAATTAAAAAGGAGGTGGACCTCAGTTAAAAAAAACAGCTTTTTAGTGACTCTTTACATTTCAGACTGTATCAGCTGTATTTAGACCAGATACTTAAATAGTTAACACAGAAGACTCATAAACAGGACTGTACCACTCTGGCATTGCCACACACAGAAAAGAGGCCTTGGTGATGTTTGGCAGGTTTTATAAAAGGAAGTAGACAGATGTAAGGGTTTACACAAAAAGTCCTTAGAGAAAAAAGAAAAGAAAAGAATTCTCTCCAAGTCGTCCCGGTCTCTGTTTAAAATAAGTTTTGTTCCATTTCATTCTGGTTGCGAGAGCTAAAAAAAGAAAAAGTGATTTCTTTTTAACATGTGGGCAGTTTGAAAGTAGACAGACGACGAGGCAGGAGCTGGAGTTTAAAGTTGAACGTTGAACAAAAGGAGAAGGAAATTCATAGACGATAAAAAGAAAGTTTTCATTTAACGGTGAGAAACAATGGACCAACAGACTGAGTGGATGGCTTTCTGACTTGTGCACCACAAAAACAGTCCAAAGCATCATCTATTTTTGTAACGGGTGCTGCAGGAAATGCTGGGTGCGTGTGCCGATGCTGCTGAGCCGAGAGCGGCGTCTGATCGTCGAACAGAGGCCACCATCTTTTAGCGCTTGGTCCGCTGCCAGTGGTTGCAGAGAGTCTTTTAGGTTTCTACAGCGGCCGGTTCTGGCTCTGCTGAGACGGTACCGTCTGCTTCCTCATATGTGGGTGTCTGTTGTGGAGCTGGGCTGTCTGAACTGGGCCTAGACAGAAAACAACATTTCAGCAGCAGCAAAAAGTGTACCGAGATGCCATGCATCTGTTTTCATTTTAAAACAATGTTCCAATATGGCATCGATGAATGAGCGCGATCTGATGCACGTTGAGCCAAACCTGTTTGGACTTGAACCTTGGCCGTCATTGTTCTCCTCTTTCAGAGGCGATTTGGGCTTTTCGTCTTCCTCTGCATTCTCTTTTTTCTCCTCCGATTCTCCATTCACGGGTGTGGATTCTACAAAAGACATTCAGATTTATAAGCGGCTGCCGTGAGAGTAAAACTCAATCTGAAATGTTTCTCATACCAGTGTTTTGTGACTGCTTTTCATCATTCTCCGTTTCTTTGTTCTCTATTTTAGGCTTAGCTGCCATCTCTGGTTTTCCCACGAAGCGAAGTTTTAACTTGTTGTAGACGTCGCTGGCCTTCTCCATGACTGCAGCGCTGGCTTTATACCGCCGAATCTGATAAGTGATGAGAAACAGATTATTATAAAATAATCAGTCAAGTTGCACAAGATGAAAATATACAGCATAAAAACAATACATATCCAGCTGTGTATGTAAATATCTAGTTTCAACTGGAGGCCATTTTGTGTTTTTTATGCATGAATGCAGAATGAATTATCCCACAGAAAATGCACAGCAAGCTGCACCTTTTTTAGTGTGGCAATAACTTCGGCATTTTTATGGAGAATCTGGCTGGTGACAGGTACAGCTTCAAGCTCTTCGAGCGCTTTTAGACAACGCTCAATGTCCTAGAATGCAACAAAAACACCCAGCCATTAATGTTTCATGGCAACACAAAGACATAAAGGAAGCTACATTTTGTGCCACTTACTGGGTTGTCCACTTTAAGTGCAAATTTAATGTCTGTGTGGAGTTTCTGTAGCCTTTCCTCTGGTGATGACTCTAAATATTGATGAAAAAACAAAAAAAAACAAAAAACACAACAGTTATTTCTTCAACTCTTCCCATAATGTTTTTGCAATTTAATGCAAAATAATCCATACCCATTGGACTTTTCACATTTTGTCAGTGTATTTCTTATCATGGACTAACACAATTTAGTGTATACTTGTGAAAAGAATGAAAAGGCAGACATGACAAATGAATATGTTTGATCTGAACCATCCCACTGTAGTTCTGACCTGTCTGCTGCATTCCTTGGTCTTCATGATGCTGTTTGTTCTCAATAGGATTCTAATTAATAAATAGGTAACTTTTAAAAATAATACATCATGCACTTGACCAGCGTCAGAATAAACAGGAGGAGACGTTTATAGATACAACGTGACTAAATGAAAAGCGCTCCAGTGGGTATGAATATTTTAAAAGGCGTTTTAATGAGAAGAATTTGCAGTTTTCTTTGCCTAATAAATTTGCTGATATTGCATGATAACCAGATGCAGAGCAGATGAAACTATGACTGCTTCTGACCTTTTTTCTTTTCCACTTTCTTCTCCGGTGGCCTCTCTGGTCGGCGTTTGGGCTTTTCAGGCTTAGATCTAAGTCAGACACAATGGCGTGATCAGTGTCCTTTAATATTTAATCATGTTCTTCTCATGACATTTGCGTTCTGTGGTCTGTTCTCTCTCCGTCCGCTCACCTCGCTCTGGACTTCTCCTCCGCCCGTCTGGCTTTCTTCTCTTTCAGCTCCTTCTCCTTTCTTTCTTTTCTTTCCTTCTCCTTTTTTATTCTTGCCTTCTGTTTGTCTACTTTCTTTGGTGTTTTTTTCACCTTTTTGACAGGAAAAAAAAATATGAAAGAAAATGTTTTATCTTAAGTATTACGCAATTTAAAAAAAAATCATAATTTATGGTAATTCACAAAGGAAGCTTACCTCTGCTGGAGGTGGAGAATCAGAGTCAGAGGGTGCGGGGATCGGGGGCGGAGGCGGTTTCTTGGACTTCTTCAGCGGATGATCGTCTATACCTTCATCCGAGCTGCTGCTGCTGTCACTGTCACTCTCTTTTTTGCCCTTTTCTTTGTCTTTCTTCTTTTTCTCCTCCTCCTCCTTCTCTCTCTCACGGAGCCGGCGGAGCTCCTCAGCCTCCTCCTTTTTCCGCCGCTCCTCGAGCTCTCGTCTGCGCTCCTCATCTCGTTTCTTCCATTCACTGATGCGGTCCGGTTCACTGTCACTGTATGCAGTGGGGGGGGGGGGGGGGGGGATATTCAGCTGCTTTAAGTTGATATTCATATTAAAATAATCAGCAATTTAACGTAATAATTTACTAAGTAAAAAAATAAAAAGAGCAGCCTGACCTGTCGCTGTCGGAGGATGATGACGGTGCTCGTTTAGTTGGGGCAGGTTTGGGTTTTCTTGCTCGAGGCTTTGGAGCAGCTTTCTCTGTGAACCCAGGAAAACAAGCACTAAGAAAAGCTCAGAATCTTTTTCCTAGCGATTTTGGATGAAGCGGATTCAGAACTCGTACCTTTCTTGCGAGGCTGCGGGCCCTTGCGGGGAGGCGGATCAGACTCGGACTCGGACTTTGAGCCGGACTGGGACTCGGAGCCGGACAGAGCCGGCCGTGGCTTCTCGTCCTCAGAGTCGCTGTCTGCGACTTTCTTCTCTGACCCTGATCCCGACTCTGAATCAGAGTCAGAAGAACCTTTCTGTAGAACCCGAGAGAATACGGTGGAGAGTAAGTGGAACGTTTCTTGATAACAAACACAAAATAAATTAAAGTCACGAGTAAAACGGGGTTTATGCTTCACCTTCTTCTTCCCTCTGCCTCCGGCTTTCTTTCCTCCTCGTCCACCGGATTTCTTCTCTGGAGTAAAATCCTAGAGAATGAAAAATAAAGTCTAAATTCATGCTGCAAACTACTCTTTGTCTCCACAGTTAGCATTCATAGCACGATGTGTGCGAGTGAGCAAATTACCT